TATATATATATATTCTCTCACCAGAAGAAGCTTAAGTACAAGCCATCATTTCCCTCCATTCTAAGTCTAACTCACTGTTTGAATGCTTGCTTGTCTTAAGCTTCAGTTCCAATCTATGTTGTCTCCATGACTAACTTGAACCTTCACTCAAGTGAAAAACTCTGGAAAATTTGTCCTCCAATCCTTTTCATATGGAAGCAGCTTACTTATGTTAGAATTAGAATATGCCATGGTTCTTTATTAATAACGTTTGTGACTTTTAAGGAAGGAATTACCCATTTGCATTATTTAGATTTTATGTGTGAGCTTGATGCTTAGCAATAAGCCATACAGATACAGTAATGACAGATTTACTTAATCTTAAGCAGCTAACATTCTTATCACATCTTACAGCACCCAAGAGTGAAGTATTCTTTTCTTAGAACTAGAAGCATCCTACACTTATTTAAGATGAACTAATCAATGCTAGTGATCAATTCTTGATTGATGCTACATACTTACCATACTGTGATTGACTTGTTCACTTCATGCACACTAATAACAAACACCTTATATAGAGTGTCACTGTGTGTGTTGTAACAGCCACAGGTACATTGTCCGGTGGATTGGACCATAAGCTCATGACATGTTATGCAATAATAATAAATCATGCTTTCTTTTCAACATAAAATACATGCTTCCTATCCTTGGCAATAAAATGCCCCTTTTCTAAATCCCATTCCATGTTTGAAACTATATGTGACACATGACGATGCATAAAACCTACTTGTTTGAATTTTGACACGTAGAGTAGACTCATATGCTTATATCATTACATTATCTTTCATGCTTAATCATTGTAAATAATCATTACATTATTTTTCATCATAAACTTTATCATTGTACTTTCATAGGAAACATAAAATAATCATTGTCTCATGCGCTCACCTTTGCCTTTGGTCCACATGGTGAACCTAGACACATATATACTTGCAACCTTGAGATTTCCCAATAGCTATGCAATGTTGCAAAAGCTGCTAGGAGGTACTCTGTCAGGGACCCTAATTTGTAAAGCATTTATTTTTATTTAAAAAAACGACTAAAAGTTTGTATCGATGTATAAGTTCTTTGAGGTGTTAGAAATTCATGAGCTTCACTGATTGTCATTAATATTATGCACAATGCACAATGCATTCTTGTATTTTACTTTTCATTTGAAAATTAGGTTAGTTGGCAAATGTTTTTCCTTTGATTTGGTGTAAATGTGTAATTGCAAAGTTCCATGCCCATTTTTGAAATTGAAGCATACATATATTGGTGTTATAAAAGTGAGATAACAACTAAATTATTTGGAAAATGTGGGAAGTTGATGTGGTAAGATGGATGGTTTTTGGGAAGTAATGTATTCTATTAACATGAAACAGAAAGCAAAAGATGAGGGTGCAGGTGTTGTGGAACAACTTGAGGGAATTGAGTCTGAAGTTAAAGCACTTCAGTCCATGACACAAAGGATGGTTTTGAGTCAGAGTGAGATGGTATGTATTATGTAATATGTAATATGTATGTGGAATTGGATTTCTATGCTATTATTTTCCAACACATAATATAACATAATCATATTGATATTGCTTATTGCTTTATTGCAGGAGGAAGTAGTACTTAAGCGGTGCTGGCTTGCACGCTACTGGGGTTTAGCCGTGCGACATGGTATGTATGATATTACTATTGGTAGTAGAAGCAAGCAGAACCAGTTTGTTATTGTTTATGCCTAAAGCCTAAAGCCTAAAGCCTAATCATCTATGGGATTCATTTGGTTGGTTTGTAGGCATTTGTGGTGATATTGCGGTGTCTAAGCATGAGTATTGGTCATCTTTGGCACCTCTTCCCTTTGAAGTTGTGGTTTCAGCTGGCCAAAAGGCAAAGGAAGAATGCTGGGAAAAAGGCGTGTAACTCAACTCATCCTTTACTATCTATATAGCCATGTGTGCAAAGGAAGAAAGGCATTCAGTTCCAGGCTTTTTTTTTCTTTTTAAAATTAGTAGAGACCAAAATAAACCCCATTCTACATATTTACAAGAAATAAAAAAAAAAAAAACGTTATTAAATAAGTTGGATGTATTGAACAGGCGACGAGAATCTGGAAAGGAGGAGCAAGGTTGTCGGGGACTTGAATGATTTAACAAGCGAAGGGAATATTGAGAGTATGCTCTCTGTTGAAATGGGTTTGAAGGAGCTTTCTTGCTTGAAGGTTGGTTTTCAATTGCTTTTCCTACTTTCCCTATTATATATATATATATATATATATATATATATATATATATATATATATTGATGTGATTCACATAATACATAACTTAAGAGTTAAGAATCACAATGACATGCATAGGTTGAAGATGGCATTGTGCTTGCACTGGCCCAACTGCGCCGTCTAAACTCTGCTCGCCTCACTATGTCTATATCAGGTATTTCATGTAAAACTTGTGTTCAAGATGTAATTCCTTTTTCACATTTTCTGCTGTATATCTTATTTATGCAGATGCCAAGTCTTCTGGCGACCCAAAGTTTATGGAGGCATTTGGTAAGTTATATGAAAACAAACTGGATGGATATTATTATTATTATTAACTAAGAACCCAAGGTTAGGTCACACTAAAAAAATATAAATTTACTTATTCTATATAGTTGTTTTACTCTAGACCTAGAAATGTGTTATGTTTCTTGCAGAATTGAGCCCAGAGGAGTCTGAAGATGTTCTCTTCAAAGAGGTAACTAAGCCTCCATTAATGTCTCTGGGATTCCAGTCTAATCCATAATCACTGAAATTAAATATGCTATTTACACTATCTCAGCATTTGGATAATCTCCAATCTATTATATATAACAAACATTCAAACAATCATATCATATGTATACAGAAAGAAAGAAGTTGTTGACCCTTTTTACAGGCATGGCTTACATATTTTTGGAGTAGAGCCAAAGGCCATGGTATTGAGGAGGAAACCGCTAAGTCACGGCTTCAATTTTGGATTAGCCGCAGTGCACATTCGCCCACCTCACATGATGCGGTTGATGGTAACCAAATAATCATTTATATCAATCAGGGTTGTTAAATGCAAAAAATAGCATTGTGCCTTCATTCTACTTTGAAAAATATACCTACTTCTAGCAATGATCTCTAAATAGTAAATACAAAATGCACTTCACTGGGTAGATTTTCCAAAGTACAATGCCTTAATAACAAAATTCTCCTAAATACAATGCTGTAATAGAAAGAAACGAAACCAGGAGGCCATAATACACAAAACTATATTGCTATTTCTTGCATTTAACCCTTTATATGATTACTGTGCAGTTGAGCAAGGGTTGATGGAGCTAAGAAAATTAGGTATTGAGCATCGCCTCTGGGAAGCATCAAGGCCAGGAAGTTGAGATATAACATCAGTGCAAACCATACCAAAAAAACGTTCAACATTGGAATCTTAATAGAGATGTTTTATTCTTTGATAATATAGTAACAAGAAAGTCACGTTCCTTAGAGTTGATTAACCTAGTTATGGATCTTAAATGAGGATTCTTTTTGGTCAAGTATAAGCATCTCCATTTCGAATGCTTAGTGTTGAAATTGTGTTGTTAAGATGCTCTTTGGGAGAACCTAAACTATTTGACCTACTAATAGTTGAAATGGACAAGGCTTTTTTGTAACATTACAACATCAACAACCACAAATGTAACATCTGTGTCTCTACCCGTACAGAATTCTTTATAA